AGCCAGCGCAGAAAGAGCCAGGAAAAGACGGAGAGCATGTGGCATGCTGGACAAAGACAGACCGGGAGCAACAGGAAATCCCAGGGAGCCGCTGTAGGAAAGCGTTAGCGTTAAAATCTAAGGGAGGAGACACATCTATAACAACAACAAGAGCAACAAATATAATAGAAATAATAATAGTAATAAAAATAACAAAAATGATGATGATGATGATGGACAGTTAAACCACCATTCTGTCTGTCTCAGCCAGATTCTCTGTCGGCTCACCTGCCTGACAAAAACAACCAAATGAACCTCAGCCTAAAGCAGCGACGGCTCCGTAATCTGCGCACAGTCGCCCCAGCAGGGACCCGAGTCTCAGCAGGCCGGAACAGTTCCAGGATGCAGTCCGACATCTCTCAGGGTCTCGACTACGGCTGGTGCAAAGCCACGGGGGCTTATTTTATTGTGAAGACAGAGTTTACACTCAAATAATTATAACCTGAAGAAATAAAGATCATGATCTGAAATCAGGTTGTTTCAGTTTGCAGCTTGGCCTGCAGGAGGCGCTGTGGAGGCAGCTTCTAGATGGACCCTGAAAATCTCCCGGCCAGATGCTCTTCCTACTCCGTTCATGGTCTCGAAGCACAGCAGGGTGAGACCTCGCGCCCCAGTAATTTGGGTCAAACGCCCTTTCTAACAAAACCAGCAAGTTGTTCCCCATTTTTAGCAGACGTCCACACCTTTGCTGCTTAGGCGGGGGGTGCAGTCTGACCCTGCCGAATGGGCTCGTCAGACAGCCCCCAGGCCCAGCCCAGCCCAGCAGCCCGGTACAGAACATCCTGGTTCAGCACGAATCAGAAAAAAAATAAACAAATAAGGCCGAGCACGGCCAGCGGAGTGGATCTGGTGTCAAATTACTGCAGAGCGGAAGTGCGTGGTATCACCAAAGGAGCCCCAAGAGACATGCAGAAGGCTGACAAGACCAAAGCATTACCCGTGTCAAAGTGATTTCAGATGGCGATTTTTGGCAAAGCTCGCAGACCGGGATCGCCCAGGTCACCCCCCACCCCACCCCAGCTGAACGCATCACTCAGGGTCACAGTGCGAAAGCAACCCACCGCTCGAGCGGAATGGAAAAACCACAGCAGACGCCTCCGCACACCCCCCCCCTCCCCAAACGTTCCACACACCGCCTTATCTCAGTGACGCATGGGGGCTCTTTGAACCGAACCCTCCCCGTCCCCCCAACTCTACACTCAAACCAACGGACTATGCCAAGAAGGAGGTGCTGGGGGCAGATTCATGGCACAGACATGACACGAAAGTCATGCTATCCCCCCCCCAAACTTCCCCAGCTTCAAAGCACGTGACAAATAAGAAGTCAGCATAAACCTGACCTTGGCTCCGCCCTCTGGAAACATCCATCTCAGAGCACAGGGTCATACACAGTCACCGTGTAGCTGATGTGAGACCCCGGCCAGAATGGCTACAAAGAAACACCTCCCCCCCCCCCAAAATTCTACTCACATTCCAGCCCTGGAAATTTATTTTGGTAGCACTTGGTTGTCATTTAATCTCAAAACAATCTAAGGGAAAAATGGTTATATGGAGGATGAACAGATCTGGTAATTTGCTCTGAAATCCTCCTGTTTGTTAACTCGAGGAAAAGCTATGTTAAATTATAAACTATGCATCTACCAGGATCTGTCCTGGGGTGAAAATGGAGGACAGGAGACAGTAAGAGGGACTAAGTGCTACAAAAAAAAAATTTAATGCAGGACTTACTGGACAAGTACTAATTGTTATTAGAGGCAGGATATTACAGTTATCAACATTTTAAAGACAAGCCTTGCAAAAGTTAAGTTAGGATGGTAAAGAGAGAAATGCACATAATCAAGGAACTTTGACCAAGTGTGTGAAAGTGATTCCCTCAGTCCGTCCGTGTTTACCACCTTCAGCAAGGGAAGGATGAAAGTGCCCCCAGACAGTAAGATAGCTCGACGGGACGACAAGGCATCGGCCAAGACCCTGGACACATCGGCTGTCCCTGCAATCAGTATGGAGGTGTGACCAAGTGCCAAACGCGGTACAGTTTCATGATGGCTCGTATCGGCTGCACATTTTCTAAAGGAGTGAAACCGCAGCCAGTTGTGGCAGGACATGATCTTACACCTAAGGCAAAGGAATGAAACGCAGCTTCTCCTGTTTAACCCCGCGGAGTCCTGCCGGTGCCACGGCGCCATTTACCGTCCAGGTGCTGCGCCTGACCGCCTCATCCCGGTAAACCGGCATCTGCCGACTCGGCCGTGCTTTTTATTTCTGGCAAAATCCAACAAAACATGAACCAAATCCTTGCCTCCTGACTGGCTGCTTTTTATTTGTAAATCTTTGTCGCCGCAGAGACACTCTGCGCCTCCCCCCTCCACCACCACTATCATGCCCCCACCTCCTGCTTACGTCTCCAAACGCGAGGATCCGGAGAGCCCAGTTACCGGCGCCCGAAGCCGCTTACCGTGCCCCCCACACGGATGCGGTCACGGCTGCGCACCGATCCCCCCTCCCTGTGTGAGTGTGTATGTGTGTGACTGTGTGTGTGTTCCCATTTCATTTTTCCTATCAGTAGGAACCGAGCTAACTGCTAGGCTGTTCTTTTCTCTCTCTCCTCACTCAGCTCCCCCGATGTCCGTGGGCACGGAGCGCCCCTCGCTTTACCTGATTCTCCATAGCTCTCCGCTTTCCGCGATCGTTCTGTTTATTTACAGCGGCTTTCGGCGAGGTCGTCCCCGACTCCTCATTGTGTGTCAATTTCACATAGAAACCGGAAGCCAGGCAAGCGCTCCCTCCCATAGTAAGCTCCGGGCACCGGTCCAAAACAGAAAGCCGTTCTAGCCAATCGAGTGCAGGCAAGGCCGGCCGGTGATAAAAATTAGACCAATGGTTAAGCTGTAAAGGCGGGACTTCCGTCGTATGACAAACAGAAAGGAGGACCAATCACTGTTCGGATCGCCTGGAGCCATCCGCCCCCTTCTGTTTCGTGCGTACGCAGGTGTACAGAAGGAGAAACAGAAGTTTTTATGTGCACGAATAGAGCTTAAAATACGCCTGATGCGATTTATGGTATGCCTTAGGTTGATGTAATATTTCCTAAACTTCAAATCAAATTTCTGTAGTGTATCACTAGCAGTGTCAGCATGCTGCCAAATCACATATACACAAAGGAATGCCGGTTTCTTTCAGGACTGGGGGACTGAAGTAGGCAAAGTAAGGACACATGCCTCAGAGACGGAAAGGCTAATGGGGGAGTGCGAAGAGGCAAGGGCTTTCGAGCTGATTTCCCCGGGAAACTTCAGCAAACAGATGACAAAGCTCGAACCACCGGCTCGCAATGGACCTGCCTTTTTAATCTCAGCACAAAGCACAGATTATCTCCTGGCTTTGTTGCTCCAAGTGTCTGGCTGGTGATATTATCACTGGAGCCCCGGTCGCCTGGAGAACAGCAGGTCCTAGCCATTAGGAGCCAGCCCCCCCAGCTCCCTGATGTGGGCGCGGAGATGTGCGGCCAGGGGGACTGCGTGAGGGTGCACTGGGGCTTTTGATGTGTGATTAACGGGGCAGCGCGGTTTGAACGTGAGCCAGGGTGCTCTCCCTCTCAGCATAACCCCCTCACACACATGCTGGGCCTGGCTTTGATGTCCCTCCTATGCCTCGGTCACTTTCCTGATTGGCAGTAACAATAGCGGCTCTCATTTTCCCCAGCTTTCCCACTCTTCTTGCGATTAATTCCTAAATCGTGTCATGCATTTATTTCAGAGTGGTTGCATTTTTACGCGGGGTGAGATGTATTTAAAATGATAAATGTTAGTTACTAATTACAGTGGGACTCAATACTTTTTCAGAATGTTGGATTGTTTCATAAATACGTAATATTACGTGTATATACCATAATTAATAAACAAACATCATCGTTGATATGTAGTAGTAATATCCAGCACAGCTAAAGCAATAAAATCCAGTAGTGAACAGAGGAACCTGTCAGTTACGTTCCTTATAAATCCATCCTCCGACAAAAGTTAAAATGAAAAGCGAGTTTGAAAAATCAAATGTTATTGTTATGCCCAAAAACCTACAATAGGTGTCACTATTTTGCAGGAAGCGTATTGGACGGCACCTCGGAAACGTTTCTCTGATGAACTGAGATATGCTACATGGACAAAAGTTCTGGGACACACTTCTAAATCACTGAATTCTGGTGTTTCATTCAGACCCATTGCCACAGGTATATAAAATCAAGCGCCCAGGCATGCAGTCAGGTTTACAAATATTTATGAAAGAATGGGTCATTCTGAAGAGCTCACTTATGAGGCACATAGAGGGTAAAAGTCATCAATATTTTGTTGACTGAATAACTGCAGAGTTACAAGCTCCCTCTGGTATTAACCCCAGCACGAAAACTGTGTGCCAGGGGCTTCATGCAATGGGCTTCCATGGCCAAGCAGCTGCATGCAAGCGTCACGAAACACAATGCCAATCATTAGATGGAACGGTATAAAGCACGCCACCACTGGACCAGGAGAACGTTACCTGCCTGACTGCATTGTGCCAACTGTAAAATTTGGAGTAGGAGGGATAATGGTATGGGTTTTTTTTCAGGGGTTGGGCTTGGCTCCTTGGATCCAGTGAAGGGAACACAGTGCTTCAGCATACATAAGATATTTTGGACAATTCTATGCTTCCAACTTTGTGGAAACAATTTGGAGAATGCCTTTTTCTGTTCCCGCATGAATGTGCCCCAATGCACAAATCAAGTTCCATAAAGACATGGTTGGGTGAGTTTGGTGTGGAAGAACTTGACTGGCCTGCACAGAGCTCTGACCTCAACCTCATCTAAGACCTTTGGGATGAACTGTAATGGAGATTGTGAGCCAGGCCTTTACGTCCAACATCAGTGCCTGACCTTGCAAATGCTCTTCTGGATGAATGGACAAAAATCCCCACAGACACACTCCAAAATGTTGTGGAAAGCCTTCCCAGAAGAGTGGCAGCTGTTATAGCTCCTTGTTGATGCCTATGGATTTAGAATGTGATGTCATACAAGTACTTGTAGGTGTAATGGCCAGATGTCCCAATGCTTTTGTCCATATATTTTCCCTTTAAAGATGCTTATCCTGAAACCAAGTAGCCAATGTGACCATGAGTGAGAATTTTTCTGTAGCAAAACTAAACTGGGTTTGTCAAAAAGCGGGAAAAGTGTTTCTTCTAGTGTACGTATATGTTATGTAATCCAGTTAAAAAGCCTTGTTCATTTATACATTGCATACATAGTCTTTTTAAAATACTCTTTAATAGGCAAATGCAAAATATATGCACAATGCTCTATGATTGTAACTCAATTATCTAAATATTTAAATAACAGTCTCTGTACAGATGCATTGACGGAATGTCCACCTCTATGAAGGCTTAGCAGGTCTTTCGCACCATTCTGACTCCCCTGAGGAAGACATAGGGCAGTCCAAGGGCCCAGCTGTCACAGGGCCAGTACCGCAGTTCAGGCAGGGCGTAGGGGATCTCATTCTGGGCGTCCAGGTAGGACAACAGGGCAACGGCGTAGGCTGTGGCCATCACAATCAGAATGTGCCTGGAAGGGACAGATGGGATCAGAACCATACACATCTGTAGCCACCAGATGGCATAGTAGTTAATGACTTGGCACGTAATGCTTGCAGGCTCAAGTCTCAGGAAGGTACAGTTATTGTTGATACTTTGACTAAGAAAATATCGTAACAGCAAGTTATATACTTAAAAGGATGAGCAAAGAGTGACTTAAAATGTATCTGTTTGCTAAATTAATAATTTCAGTCCACTGAAAGAGATAAAGCAGCAACAGCAAGCAAAAGAGCCCATTTTCCTGCATCATTCTTGTATACAATCTGCTTTAACTGTCTGCTTTATTAGATTACCAGCTGCGTGGGTTTATAGGTAATAATTGGAGTCGTGTCACAAAACCATTATCTGTTTAAGAAATGGTCTCAGCACGTCGTCCCCCCTCCCCCCCCCAAAGTCTCTCACCAGAACCCATGAAGGTAGCAGAAGTTGAGGCTCTTCCAGAAGTCGCAGCTGAAGCGATCACTGATCCAGCAGGAGACGGCTAGCATCCACAGGCCGACGGCAGAGCGAGCCAGACGCAGCGCCTTCTGGTTTGAGCAGCTGGGGAGCGAGAGGGCAGTAGCATGTCCCGTAGGGAGGGGGGCGAGGGGCCCCGCGGCTCCCGCTGAGACCCTCTGATGTCGCCTCCGCCGCTGTGCACGGCTGGGCAATATTCTAGGGGCGCCTCAAAGCTCTCAAATCGCTAATATGTGTTACAGTCAATTAATAATTAATGGCCTGAGACACTGTTTAATAGATATCGGTGGTTCAAGCAGAATTTTTCATGACTCTGATCTAAATAAAGTGACCAGCGACAGCGATGTACCTGCGCAGCTCTAAACCAAGGGAATAGAGGATGTGGATGACAAAACAGTTGAGCACGTAGGCGTTGGCAGCGGGCTTTATGAAGGCAGACAGGGTGGTGATGACAGTGACCACCGTGACCGTCTTGGAGAAGGTGGACCTGCAGAGGCAGTGTGGGGGGGGTGTTGGTTTTCGGGGTTATGCACCAGTGGTGGGCAATATACACCAACGGTGGCTGTTAATAGGTAAATCACCCCCTGGAGGAGACTTCCCAGCATTCCTGGAGGAGTGACTGGTGCCAAAGGCTCACTGGCATAATGGATCTCGAACACCAGCTTCTCCATCTTACCAAACTGCTGTAACAAGCAGCTGTTTAAGGCATAGCTTAACAAAGCTTTTTGTCTTGGGCAAAAAAAAAATGGTGTTTAAGTGATCATGTTGGTGAAAACTATGTTTTGTCTTCCAAAGTGTTGTTAGCTTAACAGTTTCAAAATCTCTCCAATTGCCAGCAACCAATTCTTTAACTAATTTAATTAATTAGTGATGGACAAAATGACTCATGAACCATTTGCTGTATTTTTTTGACCCCACTAGATGGCGCTCTTGGTTTGCTTTTATGCCTTGGGCTGTTTTTTTTTTTCTTTATATATCAGAGACCACCATCTAGTGGGGTCAAAAAATACAGCAGATGGCTCAGGAAGCGTCATTTTGTCCATTTGTTAATTGTACTGGTGGAGAAATTTAATGCAATGGTTGAGGTGTGCCTGAGGAGAGGTCTGGACAGGAGACGCATTGTTCTTCCTGCAAGATATCACTAACGTTTTGGAGAACAAAAAAAAAATCCTGTTTGTTTTCATTGTGTTAATTTGCATAAGTTCTGGTGTTAAAATGGTCTGAGCACACATACACTTATAAACTGCCTAAACACTTTCTGAGTGCCTGAGGCTTTTGCACAGTACTGTAAACATCATAGTGACAGATTCACGAAGAGAAAAAAAAAAAAAGAAAAAATATTGCTAAACCTATACGTTACCTGTCCTTAATGAAAGAGGGGAAGTGTGACCGTGGAAACCAGAGACAGTAGCCAATGGCCAGCACCCACAGAATGGAGAGTTCATCCAGCATCTGTCCTAAGAAGCTCAGCGTCATGTGGAAGTACAAGGAGAAGAGTCCTGAAGAGGCAGACGGCGGGGAGAAGAAAGGAGGGGGGTAAGGAGCGACTGATTTAAGAAAAACGGCTGGCTGTTCAAAAATATGTTATTGCTGATATATGCCAAGATATGAGTCTTAATGAGTAACTTTGAGTACTTGGAATAGCACTTCCAGGATTATACTCATTATTCTGAAAAGAAAGTATTACTTGCCAACAGTTTTAAGGGTGATAGTATTCAGAATGTATTCACTGATGAGACTTCTAAGTGCTTATGTAAGTCGCTCTGGCTAAGGGTGTCTGCCAAATGCAGCAAATGTTTAACAAATGTCACAGAAGAGTTTTAGCACTACAGCAAACAACAAAAAAAATCAGTGATACTAGAATTGTACTAAGTCAGCAGGTACAGCAGCTAGTGAGAACAGGGCCTAACCTAAGAGCGCCCCGAGAAATCCCAGAACCACCTCGCTGTATAACTATAGAGCAAGATATTTAACCTGAATCATTCCAGAAAATATACGCAGCTGTAGAAATAGGTCAAAATTATCACAAGGGACAAAAAACAGCAGTGAGTCCGTAGAGATAGAACTCAGCGTCTCTTTACACCTCAGCCTTGTCCTGTTAATTGTTTACGGTGTGATTTTTATGAATTTTTATCACCGCGACTGTTTTCTAAATGGCGACTTACCCACAAACATCATCATAAGCCAGACCAAATGCACAGCCAAGTTTCTTTCACTGGCATAGGGATGGTGCAGGTACGTCATGACAGGAGCGATAATGAAGAAGGCCGCGTTGCTAATCTGAGGGGAAAAGTTCAGCTGTGATTTTAACAGCCCAAATGGACGATACATGAAATATAAAACCAATCACTGAGAATGAGGGTTTGCACTATTTTCATTAATACGTTCACAGTACTGTGCAAAAGTACTAGGCCACAAAGGAAAACGAGGTTTAAATGATCTTCACGTTTGTGTGAAACATGGAGGAGGTTAGGAGCATGCACTGAATGGACCAGTGTGAGTTTTTTTCCTCCAGTGGCTGGAGTGCCAATCCAAGTTAGAGGACCTCCTTATAGGTGTGGATGTAGATTAATATCATACTCAGGATGAAGCAATTGCAGGTTAAGGCCCTTGCTCAAGGGCCCAACAGAGTAGAATCATTCCAGGAATTCACGGGATCTGAACCAGCAACCTTCCAGTTGTGGGCACAGATCCCTAGCCCCAGAGCCGCCACTCTACCTACCCGTAAAACAGGATAATGTGTAAAATGTAAACGTGTAAAACGTATAATATTATATCTGTCAAATTGTGTTAGTTTAGCAAACTCAAAACTACTTCTAAAATCACCTCAGTATTTGCAGTAAATATCCACTGCACTTATGTATTTCTTGACGTGACCTCTAGCAAACCTTATATAGCTAGTCAACAGCTCATTGGCTTTTTTAACTGATTAAATAAATGAATTAACTGAGCTAGTGGTGAATGTAATAAACACACGGAATGGCTGGGGTGCTGCTGAGGTGAGGTGTGGGATCCAGCCATCCAACAAGGTATCAGTAACTTTTCATATGTTTCAATGTTAAATTGTGTTTTCTTTGTTCTGATCAAATGTGCACTTACTACCGAAAAATAGTTTTAAACTTTTTTTTTTTACTAAGACTTTTGCACAGTACTGCACATTAAACATTTTGCCTAAAAAGGCGTAGTACTTTATCTCAGCAATAGAGGGCGTAAAGCGACTAAACAGGTTCAGTGCTCCGCTTAAATCTTATCTAAGAAAACAGGGTTGGCCACTGAATTCTTTCTTCATGCGGGCCGGTGTCCGTTGGCCTGCGTGCCATTAAGAGACAGTGTGTCATTGGCGTGTATCCAAGATACTTGTTGAAAGAGAAACCATACAGTAATCCAAAATAATTCTAAGTACTTACACTTTATGGGCGAAATTTGTTTAACAGGGAGTTTGCACACCACGGAAGCATAATTACGTGGAAAATTTGTATAAATGGATTTATGGGATAAAAAATAGCAAACTGGATGGATTTTACTGCACCTTGTTGCTGCACTCTAAACCTATGGTGAGTTCTTCTGGACTCAGATCGGCTTTTGGTCAATTTATCAGGTCTACATTACTCACCAATAGATCTATTTGACCGGATCACAAATAGCAGCTCGCCGAACCAGTAAACCAATGGCAAAGTTGAACTGGAGTAATCTCCGGTATCTTACTAATCGACTAACCAGATGCGGATTCTTACAGTGTTGAAATACTCAGCCACAGTTTCAGAGTGCTTGTAGTTTTCTTCACACCAGTCAATCTCGGAACTCTCATAAGAAAAGACTGACATGATTGCAGTCCCTGTGGAATAGAGGATGTAAGCAAAAATGGTTGCACTAACGCCTAAAAATAAGCTCACATAGTGATATTATTACAGACCTATTGATTCATCATCAGCATTATTGTTATATACGATAACAATAATACGAATCTGTAGCAGTGGGTGACACGGACCAAACGCCATTCATACGTGATTTAATTTATTACCTCTTGCGCGTAACTGCCACTGAACATGAGGCTCTGCACAGCAATAGATTTAAGTAGTACTTACAATTACTTACAATTAAATGATTTTAATAAGAAATTGTGTAAGGATCCATACAAATAAAACAGCGTACAAGTTAATATGATCATTTTCAAAGAATTATTTTTTACTTACCCGAAGCAATAAGTAAAACCGGCTCCTGTAAGTGACGGGAGGTTTTTAAAAGCCTATAAAATGTTCCCTATCCTGTTACACAAGTCCTAAGGTATTATGCGACTGGGGGGCTGCCCGCGTTGAGGAACATTACCGACATCACGCCTATATTTGTAATGTCAATACCTCACAAACAACAACACCCTAAGTTATATGAACTTAATAACCCGCGAGATAAAATGTATTGTGCTACCGCTGCATAGATATGACTTCGAGTTCAAAGCTGAAATTCAATCCTTGGGTGATTAAAACACTGTTTGCCTTCATCTGCGTAAAAAGTGCACTTATCCAAATCAATTCGTTGTTAGTGAAGTATTTGAATTAAAATGCATCTACTGCATGACCACATTCAACCCTAATTTAGTCCTCACTACTACGGAATTATTTCAATTTTACAGACGTCCAGATAAGCTACTAACCTCTCGGTCTTGCAACACCACACTCAGCAGGCTACTCAAAGGGGAAAAAGAGAGTATGCCAACGTTTTCATTCATTCAATTGAATTCAATTTTTAGACATTACAATGAAGGACTTTTACCATATTGCAGTTTGATTAGTAAGTGAGCATTTAACTACTAACAATTGAATTCAATTGTTAGTCAATTTTATATCTGCTAATTACTTACAACCTAAAACATTTTTTCTATTTCCAGTTGCAGTAGTCAGTTTTTGGGCATAATTTAATAACTCCATAACCGCTTTATTGCATGTATAGTAAGGCGCAGTAATACAGCAAAGTGATCCCATGCATACAACAGCCCTAATTCAGTCAGCCCACTACACTGCCGGTTCGATACATTTAAGCACGGAGTCACCTCGCGTGTTCCAGCTTCAGCGCGCCGGGCCAGTGTCTCAAGGCGGCGGGGGCGACGCAGGCGGGCGCGGCTAGGTCAGCAAAGCCCGGCTGTGCGTGATGGGATATACAGCTCGCATGCACGGTTTTACTACAGCACCACGGCTACAGAGACCAGGCGTGTTATTAGTTCATTATTGGCAAAACCTGAGACACCGGTTTGACAGCCACTGAAAAATTTTACGGGTCACTTGCCACATTGTTGGAAAAACTCAATCGCAGTAGTATAGATTTCTACAAAAATGCACTGGTTTACCGTCTAAATCAAGTGTTCCTTAACCCAGACACTTATGAAATGCTCTTAGCCCAAAAAAATGCACCGTACAGATACCAAAGGGAATAAAAATTTTAAACATTTAAACATTTCTAATTGTTACAGGCAAAACTTGGTTGTGCTCAGTGTGGAAAATCCAGCCCTTACAACAATTAATGAAAATGATGAACCAGAGAGCGTATTGCACGATTTTCCGGTGAACATGACCACTGATTGTTCCATGTAATAGGGAATGTTTTCCAGTAGATTGGCCTCTCTCAGTCCTGGTGCACAGCACTGCCTGCTGTTCACTGCAGACCCCCTTCAGAAAGGCAGTCACTGCACCAATGTTTACATGAAGAGCACCGCAATGGATAGAATGGAATCAGATTCCATTCTATCTGCCGCTCCTTAAAAAACAGTGAAATATTAAATTGGAAAAAGGCTGGTCTGCAGTTTCCATGGGATTCATTTTGAGGAGGGAGGCTGTGCAAGTCATCTAACCCTCATGTGGTCTTCAGTGTGAGGCAGTCACAGGAAAAGGGACATGCAGAGGTACTGGCTGAATCTGGTAAATCTCAGTCGTCGTCCCCATCACTGTCATCACTGTCATCACTGTCATCGTCATGACACTTTCTCCTCTTCTTCGCTGGACTCATTTCTGAAAAACATTTTAAGCACCTTCAGTTCATCTGGATGGTGCAATCAATCTATCAATCCATTCATTCATTGTAACCACCTATTGTATTTTGGCAACATAGAGGGGCTATTAAAGGTTGCAGTTCTGGTGCCAGACCACAGCGGGGCACTCACAAACCTTTGACATCATCATAATCATCATCGAGGTCGTCGGCATCATCAACGTCGTCGCCGGCATCAAAATCATCGCCGACATCGTCGTCATCATCGCCTACGTCATCGCCATCATCGCCTACGTCATCGCCATCATCGATGTCATCGTCGATGTCGTCATCATCCAAGGCATCGCTCTCATCATCCAAGGCATCGCCCTCCTCTTCTGTATTCTAATAAAAGCACCGTGATCAAATGTAAGTTACTTGCAAGGACCAAGAAACATGACAACATATCACAACTGTTTAAGGGCTCTCTCGTCTTACACCATCTTCTGACTCTACATCATCGTCTTCCTCAGTTCCGTCCTCCTCGTTTTCTGGCTGGTCGCTCGAGCCATCCTCTGCAACAAACTCAGGAGCATGAGCACCATATTATCAGTAAACTCCGCAGTTGTGCAGCACACAGCATCCGACGCCATTTAAAAGCCTTTTGTACAGCAGTTTAATGAATTTAAAAGTCAACATCTGCACTTAATGCACTGGGTTAAATAAACCAGGATGAAATGTATGCAAAGACATCCCACCGTCTGCACTCAGCTCCGAACCCGAGCTCAGTGCCGCCTTGTCATTGGTGTCGTATCCATCCAGGTAGGTGACCTGGGACAGGAACGCCAGAACAAGCTCCCTGTACTCCAGCAGCGCGGACACCTCGCAGTCCAGGAGCTCCACGCTCCTCAGCATGGTCAGCTTCTTCTGCAAGGGGCCACACGAGACACCTCAACACCCACCTGGCTGTGAGCCGCGACTCCAGGGGGCGGAAGTGCTCACCACACACCCTCGTTCGTCACAGTAAGTACAATAAATACTAATCCAAATCCTTATTTGGAAGATAAAACGCATATCTTACTTACCAGCTAGCTAGATACAATCTTCTGATTCCTGCTAGCCATTCAATATTTTTTGAAGCACCGGAGGTGGGGGTTGGGAAGGAGGCATCTAGAAACCCCACCCCACCCCGGTGCAATTTCCCTGGGAAAGGTCTGCAAGCTGACTGCTACAGAAGACCTCATATATTAAATGCTTTACAATTTAGAACAGTGGTTTGTTTAAGCAGCGATGGCTTAATGATTAGGGAAGCGCACTTGTAATTGAAAGATTGCTGGTTCAAATCCCCGACCAGTAAGGCACCACTGAGGTACCCTGAGCAAGGTACCGCCCCCAAGCACTGCTCCCCGGGTGCTGAATTAGCTGCCCCCTGCTATGTCATGACGTCACATATGGGTCAAATGCAGGGGACACATTTCGTTGTTGTGCACTGTGGTGTGTCAACAATGACCACTGATCACTAAATTCACGAGTCCCATTATCTCACCAGCTTGTAACGATGAGCAAAAACAACCAATACGTACACGGCAATCAGCGACATATAACGACGAGTTAAATTACCAGCGGCTTGAGGGTGCTGACGTCCTTGATCTTGTTGTCTCTGAGGTTGAGTTGCACCAGTGCTGGGGTCTTCTCTGCCAGAGCATCCAGTCTGCTTATGCAGTTACTGGGGAGCTCCAGCTGAACAGAGGTTCATACATGGGGTTAAGAGAACCGTGGAGAGTTAGGTGCTAAGTCGCTAAGCCATTCTCCAGCACAGCAGGTTAAAACCCAGGAACCAAAGCTAGCATGGTGCTTCCAGACCCTGCTCCCCCCCGTAGAAATAAAAGGTTAAACCTACAGATAATCGGTCTGCGATAAAACTCATAAAAGGTTAAGGGTGATGATTCAAAACAAGATAGCATTCAGACAATCAAAACCTGTCACTGGATCTTGGATCTGAGAGCCTCACCTTCCGAAGCTTGGGCAGTTTGGGCAGACCATCTAAGGAGGCGAGACCAACGTCGGCCATACTGAGCAACTCCAAGTTTAGGAACTCATCTGTGAGGCCCACGATCTTCCCTTTAGGACAACGGCAGTTATCGAGAATTAACTCCACCACCTATAGAAAAGGTAATTAAGACAAACAAGAAATAATAATGAAAAGGATGAAATCATCAAAGTTCCCATATCGATACTCTGCACCCCGTCCTGCTTCCATACAATCACGCATTTAGCAGACACCTTTATCCAAAGCAGTGAGGCAAACAGCAGATACCTCATAACTGTTACTATAGAACATGCTGAAATTCTTACACCGGGCAGTAAGACGTCGGCCGAGACAAAGGCAGGGTGCAAGATTTAACACTGTGCGCGGGTAGTATTTATATAGAAAACTTAGAAAGCTTGCTCAGTGGTACTGGACCCCACCCTTTCTACGGATCGGACAGAAATTTGCTCCCCGCGTGGGTCCATTTTATAGACCCCACCGAAACTGATCAGACGCAGAATAACGACACGCAACAATCTTTTTATGAACTCCATGGCCACGCCTACAGCAAAACGAGGGTGGATGCAAAATACCATCAACACAGCGAGACTATAGTGTGCATCGCTTTAGCTAGTATGGTGCAAACTAACCAAAAGCGGTAACACATGCTTTTAAAATGGGTGAACCCTGAATTCCACCGAAGGGCTTCTTCGTTCAGCGATCCGTCCTCCGACCATGTGTATCTGAACCGGCCATGCCCGCGACTGGCGGGTTAATGGTGGCCAAACTGCGGCATTGTTCACGCAGCACTACACGTGCTTTTGCGGGTCATCAGATGCGTGAAGCCGGCAGCAGCAAAACTACTCATTGTTCAGGACTCGTCTCGTGTATGCAAACACAAACGCTGCGTAATAAGACGAATGACTGAGATTTATCAGCGATTTACAATTTATTTCACGGATTAATTTACCTCTGATGGCTTCCGGTTGCGGAGTTCCTGTTTAATTTTTTTCTCCATGTCCATGTTGTCTCCCGGTTCTCCTTTATTCCTTGTTTATCCTACAAGCTACTAACTAAACTTTTGCATAGATTTTAGCAAAACTAGTTAGCTAAATTAGTTTAAAGGTTGCTTTATAACAACTTTAAAATTGCTTAAATGTGGACTTCTTTCCAGCGACAAGTTGTTTGTGAACAAGTCCGAGCATGTGCCTCCCCCAGTTAGTAGTAAAGGCTCACGACCAGTAAGCGGTATGATTCGCCCCCTGTACTGGTTTAGGTTAGTAATGGGAGAATTGGGCGGAGTTACCGTATGCCGTCAATCACCGCTGGCTTTAACTTGACAAGCAGCACATAACCATTGGTCTCAACTAGGCAGTGATTGACAGCGGAAACTCCGCCCACAAAAGGAAAGTCCGCCTCCGTCGTTTTGGTCCAGCCGGTGGCTTGTTTCTTATCCCGCTTTTTAAATTAAACACAACCGGTTATTAACAGCGCAACTTCTACCACCGATTAAATCGCTTTTAAAATAGTATAATTCCGTTTGTCTTCTTAAATTCTAAACCACGTTTGCAATGTGGTCGCGATTTAAATCTTCCGGTACAGGTGCTGTTCTATCTGCACTATACAAAGACCACAAAATAAACCAATCACTTAGAAAACGAGTCTTCTCATTTATTGTCTTCATTGATTTACCATTTGCATACTCCTAAATTTAATTTCCAAAACCACAAATTGTACAAAAGACGTCTTAGGTAATACAAATATGCCAGTCCTGTATATGCCACACTGTATGCGACTCTAAGCAGGTACATTGAATAGCAACAAAAAAACATTTATTTTTGGTAATTAAATGAAGGGCATTACTGCATGGATCTGCCATCTACACTGATGTTAGTTTCACTAAGAGCTGTATCAGCTGCCATATTATTAAAAACGAACAATCAATGGCCCTAAATTGGCTACAGTCATGTGACTAGGCAGGCTTAAGACACGATTGGGCAAAACTTCTTTAAAAAAAAAAAAGACCCTTCCTAAACAGTCAGGATATGTCATGCTCCGTTTAAAGTCTGTACTTCAAAAAAAAAAAAACATCCTACAAAACATGTAATGGAGACAGAGTTCAGTTCCGGGCAGCTTTTACTTGCTGAAACTGAAGAGTTAAATGCTGATTGGACTGCAGCACAGCAGAAGGTAGTTCAGGGAGAGTATTGGGGCTCTCTCTCTCTCTCTCACACACACACACACACACATATACACACATATACACACACACACACACACAGCCCAGCAGCGAGATCATACTGTCAGAGCTGAGTATAGACAGAAGGCTCCCCATCTGGTGAACTTTTGGGCTGGAATGGTGGGACCACCCTGAAGTCTGAAACAGAACATTACCAGATTACACCGAAAAGTTAGAAAACTACCGCATTACACCAAAAAGTTAGAAAACTACCGCATTACACCGAAAAGTTAGAAAACTACCGCATTACACCAAAAAGTTAGAAAACTACCGCATTACACCGAAAAGTTAGAAAACTACC